GGGTGATGGTGAGGGGCTTCAGAAACCCTAACAAGGACCCCTGCAACGCCAGCCTGGCGCACCGGAGCAGTCTTCCTTGGGGTGGGAGGAAGCCCCGGGGCCTGCCCCGAGAGGCAGGAGCGAGCCCCGTCTGGGCGCCTCTCATTCCCCGGGGCCGGCCGGCTGCCTCCTCTCTCCGAGCGGGCGTCAGGCGGGCCCGCTCCTTCGCCCTGTTATTACCGCTGGCAGGTCCGTGCCCTTGGTACCAGGCACGCAAGTCCTACCAGTTCTTCTGGCCTTCAGCAACTCAGCCGCTGCTGCGCGTGGGGCGGGGAGGCGCCCGGGCCTGTTACCTGGGGTCCCCCGCACAGAGGCGGCCCGCCAGGAGCTGGCTGGACCGGACAGGCCGAGGTGGCCGGCAGGATGAGTCTCTTAGGAGCGGGCACTGCAGGGGCCGGGGCGGGCACGCAACTGTGGTCGGCTTCGTGGGCTTGGAACGCGCTGGCCCCCGCCCGGCCCTCCGCACTTACTTCCTGGCTGTTTGGAAGCCGCAGACCCCGCGACCGTGTTCCCGGTCCCAAGCACAGGTCTGCGGCAGGAGCTCCCCCACCCCCAACGTTTCCCCCTTACCCCCTTCCTGTCTCCTTCTCGGGGACACTCATCTGCACTTGGGCCTGGCAGTTTCCAGAACTCTCTTTCTCATTTTTGTCTTTTTCTTTCTTTTTTTTTTTTTCAGCCTATACAGAGTGGTGCCTTGGGGGTGTCACTGGCTCGGTACTCAGGGAGGCTCTGGGCGGTGCTGAGGGCCATGTGGTACCGAGTCCAAACCCAGGGCTCCCACATGCTAAGCCTGTGCTCCGGGCCTTTGAGCCTCTCCCTGGCCTCTCGGTCCTTTAAGTCTGTTTTGGGGGCCACTCCCGGTGATGCTCAGGGAGCCACGGGGTGCCGGGGTGGGGCCCCAGCCCTGCTCTTGTGCTTACCTCCTGCGTCCCGTCGCCAACGCTGGCCTCGACCCCGTGACAGTGGTGTCCTAAACGTCCTATTGGGGGGCTGGGGCTGTGGCCTGGTGCTGAGGCAGGCACATGCGTGCTTGAGCCCTGGTCCCATCGCTGTCCATGACAAGAGCACCAACGTCTTACAGGTGCCAGCCACAGGTCTGCAGTTGTCTGGTCTGCCAGGCGGCCGGAGCCATGCTGACCCGACAGACTCTTAACCTCTTTTTTTTTTTTCTTTGCTCTTTGGGTCATGCCCGTCAATGCACAGGGGTTACTCCTGGCTCTGCACTCAGGAATTACTCCTGGCGGTGCTCGGGAGACCCTATGGGATGCTGGGAATCAAACCAGGGCAGGCCGCGTGAAAGGCAAATGCCCTACCCACTGTGCTATCTCTCCAGCCCCTCTTAACCTCTTTTATGGGGGATGCTCTCTGCAGTGCTGACCAGGCAGTGCTCAGGGGTCCGAGCGCCATGTCCAGCAGTGCTGAGGGAGGGCGTCGGGGCACCCACCGGTGTGTTGGTAGGCCTTTCCCACTTGATCTCTCCAGCTCTGGCTGGACAGGCCTTCTCTGGGGAGAAGGTGAAGCCCCCACAAAGGTTCCGGTGGGGGGCAGGGCTTGCCTTGCTCTCCCTCCTGCCCGTTGGCCCAGCTTTTCTGACAAAGGTGACATCTGGGGGTGGCGGGAATGGCCACTGGAGGCTGGCGGGGGGCTGGGGGTCTTGCCCACCAGGAGTGTGCCTCATTCACCCCCAGCGCAGAGCAGGTACCCAGATGGGCAGTGGGGAGCCAAGGCCGCACAGCGCCGCGTCCAGACCTCACGCTCCAGCGGGGCCTCGCGACTTCCTGCCCATGTGACCCTGAGCAAGCGCCATATCCCCGAGCCTCGACTGCCCTGGCTAAAAATAGGCGCGCTAATCACTACCTCGGGGGTTGTTGTGGGATCAGCGATGACGCAGGGAGAAGCGCTGCCTGGCGCGTAGTAGCAGCTCAATAAACGCCATGGCCATGAGTGGCCCGTGGAGACCTGCCCACGCGGGTGCATGAGCCATGAGTCCAGCAGAGCCCATCCTAGTCGGAGCCCACGGCCCTGCGGTCTCTGGCAAGCACCGGGACATCATGGGGGTCTCAGGACCACCAGCGCCTCATGATGGGGGAGCTGAGGAAATCTCTACCCCAGCTCCTCCCTGGGAAATAGAACCTGGGCGGGGAGTCCGACTCTCAGTGTGTCCCTCCCAGCCCTGAGTCCCACCGCTCGCTCGACCTCCCAGGTGGCCAGTAGGTGGGCAGCGGCCGGTGCTTGGGGTGACTGCAGGATAGCGAAGCAGCTAAGACACGGGGGTGGGGGGCAGGTTGAGGGAAGAGGGCCCCGCCAGCGACAGGGGCAAGGAAGAGGCCCCCGGACCTGGCATTCGTCACTCCCCGCCCCGACTGGCCCTGCACACCCCCAAGCTTTCCTCCTCACTCCACTCTGTTCCCTGTCCCACTGGGGCCCCACTTCGGAGATTCCCGGGGTGCACAGAGCCCCCAGCCCCACCGTGGGGCACCCCAGTTGTTCCCGCCTCCACAGCCCACTGCTGGGGCATGCCAGGCTTCACCAGCGCCCGGATGGGGGGGGTCCATGCCTGCGTCCCACCTCTCACCGGGGTCCTCACCTCACGCTGCAGCTTCCACTTGGGGCGACAGGTTGGGGTTCCATGACGGACACGGACCCTTTAGTACAGGAGGGGCCTGAGAGGGGGCAACCCTTCATTTTGGGCGGCCCACGCCAGTGGCCTGCCTGGACCTGAAGGAGCGATGCCCCCAGTGCCCCGCTGAGGGTGGGTTTGGGCCTTGTCTCCGGCTCCCGACCACAACCCTGTCCCCTCGGTACCAGCCTCCCCTCACTGGCCAGTCAGACCAGCTCCCAGGGACTCCCGGGGGCTCCCGGGGTTGTTCTCAGTTCTGGGGGAGGGAGGCCGGAGAGACAGCACAGCAGGGAGGGCGTTTGCCTTGCATGCGGCCCACCCAGGTTCGATCCCCGGTAATACATATGGTCCCCGAGCACTCAATGCTCACCAGCCCCTCACCCCTCGCCCTGCCTCTCCCCTGCCTGGCCTGCCGCCTCCACCAAGCTTCTCCCCGGGTCCTCCTCACCCTCCTCGGCCAGGGCCCCTGCATGGGAACTTGCATGCTGCTCGCTCTGAGTCCCGAGGTCGAGGTGCACATGGGCCCAGCTTGCTAGGGGGCAGGGGGGAGTGGGAGAAGCAGGAAGGAGGGGCAGGAAGGAGCCCCACCTTTGGGTGCACCTGCCCCCAGCTGCGGCTCAGCTGCGGCCCCCTCCTGCCCCCAGCTGTTGCGCTACTCACCTGGGGACTGACCCTGGGCTGACTGACCTTTCACCCCAGACAATTTGGGACTGAGATCGCAGGTCGAAGGGGCTCCCCCTTCTCCTTTCTCCTCACTGCCCCTCACCCCCCAGCTGCCTCCTTGCTCATCTGACGGGCGTTGGTGTTGGGATGGTGATCCGGGCTTTGGGGACAGGTCAGTTGGGAGAGTCTGAATGTCCCTGGCTGCCACCCGCAGCCTGGCCACAGACCGGGGGGCTGCCTGAGCCTGGCTTTCGGGGTTACTCTAAGGCCTTACTTAGGCCAGCTCCCCGCTCAGCTTTGCAGGATGGTGCTGGAAGGCTCTGGAAGATGGAGTCAGCTGATTTGCATAAATATCCCTGTGATGCGCGCGTGGTCGGGCGCAGCTGCGGCCGAGACTGTATGAGTGGGACCCCAGCTTCTCCCTGAGAGGAACTGGCTCAAATTTGAATAGATGACCTCTCCCCAGTGCTGCATGGACCTGGGTCTGAGCCAGGGCTACCCCAGCAGTGCTCAGGGAAGCACTCATGTGCCCTGAACCCTGTGTGATGCCCCCCACCCGGTGCCAAATCAATTTCCCCGCAAAGGGAAAAACAGAGGTGAACAGACAACGCAGGCGTGCGGAGAAGGGCGTTCTTTGATTTTAATAGTTGGGGGGGGGGAAGCTATAAAAGACAGCAGGGAGCCCTGGGCTCCCTCAGATCACAGTGAATGGAAGGGACAGAAATATAATGTAAACAAAATAGAGCTTTCGGATAACGTTACACTACTCTACTTCCAGATTACAGCAGATCGATCCCAGACACGCCGACAGTCAAACGAGGCTCTTTGGAACGAGGTAGAGCCCCAGGGAGCCTGCGAAGGCCCGGCCGGAGCCATAGCACAGCGGGGAGGGCGCTTGCCTTAACAGGCAGCCGCCCCTGGTTCAATCCCCGGCGTCCCATATGGTCCCCTGAGCATCGCCAGGGGTGATTCCTGAGTGCAGAGCCAGGATGAGCCTGAGGATTGGCCTCTCGGCCACCCCTGGGCTCCCACCGGCTCCAGAGTTGCCCCCTCATTCTTCCACAGGCTTCTCCCAGCTCCTGAGGGTCCTCAGGGTAGCCAGACGCTCAGCCCAGCCGGGAAAACAGCCAGAAAGGGGCAACAGAGAGAGTTCGGCAGCCAGGCCCGGAGGCCCCGCCGCCCCACTGGACACAGCCTTCACCCCGGAACCGCAGAGCGGTGAGTTGTTCCAAAGTTCTCGGGGCAGCCCCAGCGCGCCAGGGGGCACCCAGGACGCGCAGCGCCCCGGGCAGGGCGGGAGGTGGCGGGCACAGGCGTGAGCAGGGTGGAGTGTCCGGGAGAAGTAGAACCACGCGGGGAGGAGAAAAGCCAGCTCCATCCTCTCTTCGAAACAGCTGCCACCGGCGGCAAAAAATATATTAATCCTATCTGTACACGTGTCGTCTTGGACAGAAGGGAGGGGGGCCTCCCTGGCACCTTGGAGGGGCTCTCTTGAAAATGAGGTGATGTGTGGACGGGTCCCGCGGGAGGGCGGGGAGCCCGGCGTCGGGGACGCTGTGGGCCTCGCCTGCTCCCCAACGACGACGACGAGGACGACGACGACGACGCCCGCCTTGGCAGTTCGCTCTGAGCCCGGGGCGGGGACAGCCCAGGCAGGGACCCCGGCGCCTCCCGCGGGTCAGATGTGCTGGTTGCCCTGCAGCAGGGAGGTGACCGTGTTCTGCAGCGCCACCGCCACCTTCTTGGAGGTCTTGCGCAGCAGCGGGCTGTCGGGGTGGCGCTCCTTGAGGTGCAGGACGTGGCCCTCCTGGCTCTCGGAGGTGCAGCCACACTCCTCGCACACGTACAGCTTGGCGCGCCGCTCCTTGTACGCGTACTTCTGCTGCACGCCGTGGATCTTCTTGAGGTGCGACTCGAGCGAGCAGCGCTGCGTGAAGGCCTTGTCGCACAGGCTGCACTTGTAGGGCCGCACGCCTGGGGGGGGACAGGGCCAGGGTCAGGTCAGGGGCCCCGGGGCGCAGCGTGGGGAGCAGGGCGCGGGGGTGGGGCGCGGGGTGGGGGGGCGGCGCTCACCTGTGTGGGTGCGCACGTGCCTCTTGAGGTCGAAGGTGTCGTTGAAGCCCTTCCCGCAGTAGGTGCACAGGTGCCGCTTCACGTCGTTGTGGCACTTCATGTGGCGGTTCAGCATGCGCTGGTAGGTGAAGGCCTTCTGGCACACGTGGCAGGTGAAGACGCCCCCGCTCGGGCTGTCCCCCAGGGTCACCTGTGGGGCGGGACGGGTCTGTGACGGGGCACCCGCCTCCCCGTGCTTCCCAGAGCCGGTTGGGGGCTCTTCGTGGGTCCCCCGCCCCTCCGTCCTACCTACACCCCGGAGAAGGGGCCTGCTGGACACGTCTGGGTCCACTGAGCCCACCTCAGCCTCACTCTGTGGTTGGGCTCAGAACCCGGGGTGGCCTTAAGTCCGAGGCCATTGAGCAGAGCCTGGGGACCCTCAGGGCCAGGCCAGCACCCTATCCCTGCCTCGCCTGGCCCAGTCCACGGTGCTCACGGCCAATGCCCAGCGTCTCCTGAGGCAGAGATGGGCACGAGGTCGCGGGCGTGGCCCTCTCTCCTGCCCGGGGGCTGCTTGTCCTTCCCTCGGGGGTCCTGGGTGGGGGGGTTGAACCACTGCCCGGCCTGTACCTGCCCGTGGCTCGGATGGAGCCCGGCTGGCAGCTCTGGGTCTCGGGGCACACGGCTCTCCCTGCCCTGACTGCTGGGTCTCTGGGGCCCCTCCCTGCTTCTCCCGGGACTGTCGTGTGAGCAGGGGCGCCCCGAAAAGGCACAAGGAACGGAGCCAGGTCCAGCGCGGCCTCCACGGGGCCCGGCGGTTCGCACTTCACTCGCCTTCCCCGGGGGTCCTCATGCTCTCCACCCCCATCCCCGCATCTCCCTGCCCTGCAAGTACCTTCATCTTGGTGCGCAGGAAGCCATGCTCTCGGCTCTGAGTCTCCGCCAGGCGGCCGGGGTCTTCCGAGGGCAGCTGGGCCACCACGCAGGGCCCGGGGACCACGCTGTAGCCGGGGTCCCGGAGGCTCATGTCCAAAGCCAGCGGGCAGGAAGGGGGCTCGGCCACCGACGGCTCCGGCTCACAGTAGGGCTGCGGGGGGCAGAAGCCCAGGCTCACTGCGGAGAGAAGAGGGGCCAGATGAGGCGCTTGTGGGGGCAGGGGGGTCCTCAGGGAGGCAGAGCCGGGTCCCCAGCCCACTCGGTGCCTACCCCTGCCTGCCCCAGGAAGGGAATTAGCTGCCACCAGGCGACCGATGCCCACTGAGTAACTTGTGTCTTAGCGGAACTGGGAGGGTCTGGGCTCCCTGGCCGGTTCCCCACCTGGGCCGATCCCCTGGATTCCAGGCCTCGTCCACTCTCCTGGGGGACAGGGACACATCCTCACCCCACCGGGTTCAGGGGAACCACACCACCCCGGCCTCCGCTCTGACTGACGTGGCTGTGGGCCTTCCTGGCGCAAGCAGGAGGGTACCTTGCTCCCCTGGCGGCCCGGGGGAGGCGGGGGTGGGCACCCGCCAGGGCTCCACACCCCCGTAGGCTGCCACAGGCCCGCGGCGGAGCGGGAGGAGGTCAGGGAGCAGCAGGTGGATGCGGCCTAACAGTCTGCTGGGCGCCCTGCCCGGCCTTACGCAACTTCCCCGCAGCAGGACCGCTGAGACACGAGGGCCGGCCTCGCCCTGCCGGCACCGATACCTGGCAGCCCTCACGCGGCCGCTCCCTGTGGCGTGCAGACACCTCACGCTGAACGCTAACCGGGACAAGAGGCCGGGCCAGCGCCTCCCAGAGAGGAGGCGGGACACAGCTCCCAGCTGCAGAGATACAGAGCTACTGAACCACAGGGCCACGGGCCAGGGGGCCACAGGGCCAGAGAGTCACAGGGCCACAGAGCCACAGGGCCACAGAGCCACAGGGCCACAGAGCCACAGGGACACAGAGCCACAGGGACACAGAACCACAGGGACACATCCACAGGGACACAGGGACACAGAGCCACAGGGACACAGGGACACAGACACAGAGCCACAGGGCCACAAAGCCAGAGTCCAGAGCCACAAGGCCACAGGGCCACAGGACCACAGAGCCACAAGGCCACAGGGCCACAGAGCCACAGGGACACAGAGCCACAGGGACACAGAGCCACAGGGACACATCCACAGGGACACAGGGACACAGAGCCACAGGGACACAGGGACACAGACACAGAGCCACAGGGCCACAAAGCCAGAGTCCAGAGCCACAAGGCCACAGGGCCACAGGACCACAGAGCCACAGGGCCACAGGGCCACAGAACCATCGCGCCACAAGGCCACAGAGCTGCATCACAGAAGCCACAGAGCTGCAGGGCTGGGCCAAAGAGCTCAAAGTTGCGACCATGCAGTTTAGACTTTCTTTGCAAAAAGGCAAGGCTCGGGGCCGGAGCAACAGCACAGTCACAGCGGGAAGGACGTTTGCCTTGCAGGCGTCTGTCCTGGGTTCGATCCCCATCATCCCATATGGTCCCCCGAGCACTGCCAGGAGTAATTCCTGAGGGCAGAGCCAGGAGTAACCCCTGGGCATCGCTGGGTATGACCCCAAAGAGTCAAAGAAAAAAACAGGAAAGGCTCGTACCCGAGCAATATTTTCCACACTTCAAAGGAAAAGTCGAGGGGCTGGTGTAGGAAAAGCTGCCCGTGCCGGGACAGGAGGGACTGTGGAAGTTCCCGAGGGTCACAGTTGTGCTCACGGCCTCTGGCCACAGCTGGGAGCCAGGACAGCCCGAGGGCAGGAGGGCTCTTGCGCCCAGGGTGGACGGGGGGAGCCCCGGGCAGGCAGGAGCGTGTGGAGGGAGGAAGGTGACTGTGAAAGCACCCAAGTTTCGGGAGAGGCCCCAGTTCTCGCCCCCTCAAAACACAACAAAGCTCGGCCCGGGGAAGAATGCGCCCGCCCGCCCGCCGCCCAGAACTCGTTCTGCTGCCACTGGCGTCCGTCTGTCCGGGGACTTTAATGAGCCACCTCATTCCAGGGGTTGATTCACCAGCGCCTGGCCCTGGCCTGGCCTCTGAGCTGGCACGGGGCCAGGTCGCAGCCTGCCCGAGGGGCCGCACAGTGGGCGGACTGGAGCCTCGGGCCTCCCGCCCGCGGTAACTGCGCCCTGCGCCCGGTGTGCCGCCGCTTCTGTGCAGTTATCCGGGCTCCACACCCAGGAGCCGCCGCTGCTCCATCCAGGCCTCCAGTCCTCCCCTTCTCTGTCTTCCAGCCTCAGACTGCCGAGCGAGGACCCCCGCAAAGCCGGAGCCCCCCGCCCCCACCCCCATTCCTGGAGGACAGCAGGTAAGAGAAAGCGGAACCCCTGGGTGTTCAGGGTGGGGGTGGGGCGAGGAGCCCCTCATTTGGGGGACCAGATTTTGCTCTAAAGGGGCTGGATGGGCAGCGGAGGTGTTTTCCCCCACCCAGTCCACACCTGGGCGCGGGCCGTGCCACCACCACACACAGGCAGTGCTCCTGGCCCTGCCGCTCCTGTCCCTGGGTGTCACCAAGTGGCACCCAGTGGCAGGAAGCAGAACTGGTTGGGCCCTGCTATGTGGCTCGCTGTCCCCTAATTAGATGTTTCCGGTGAGGCAGTGGCCTCTGGCTACCCGGTGCCCGCCTACAGCTCGGGAGTGTGGCAAGACGGTGCCAGCCAGGCCCTCTCCCTGCCCCCTCGGGGTTGGGGCGCCCCTTTATGCCTCCCCCTGCGCAAGGGCAGGGGAGCCGGGCATGGGGGCGGGGAAACAGGGGTGACTCCCCTCTGCCCGGTGCCCATGGAGCCGTGTCAGCTCACCTGGGCGCTGGGGTGACGGCCCCATGGCAGATGGGGAAGCCCCTGCGTGACACCCCCGCTGCCCACCTCCAGGCCATCAGCTGGCAATGCCCCAAAGGAAGCCAGTGCCAGTGGCCGGCAGAGGTGGGCAGCGCTGCAAACGGGCATACAGGAAGGCGTCCGCACAGACGCGAGGGGCGTCCAGCCCACACGGGGACGGGGGAGTGGGCTCTGGGCCACGTCCTGCCCAGTGTTGGGGAGCACGGGCGGACAGCAGCCCAACCTGCTCCCATGATGACCATCTGGTACAGCGGGCCCGGGGCCAGCGGGCGGGGCAGCATCCCGGGTGCTGAGGGCCACATGTTGTGAGGGGCCTCAACCTGGCCTGCTTGGCCTATGTGCCTGGCCTGGACTCGGGGGGGGGGGGGGGGGCAGGGTTCCATGAGAGGCAGAGCTGCAAGGCGCCTGGCAGGCAGAGGGTCCGGTGTGTGTGTGTGGGGGGGGAATGCGCCCCCTTCCAGCGCTGCCTCTCCCCATATCTCTGCCTGCTGTGGCCCCAACTGTCCCTTTTTCCCATTTCCAGAGATGACAGGGAAACCCCAGGGAATATACACCTTCAGTGACTCCCTCCCAGAGTGCCTCCTGGCCCCCTCAGAGCCCCAAGCACCAACGTCAGGACTGCCCCACACCAAGACGTACGCAACACAACAACACAACAAACCAAGGCGGCAAGAGCCGTGGGTCCTGCCAGCAGCCAGTGACCCCCGCTGGGCCTTCCCGTGGTTGGGGGAGGACCCAAGAGGCCTGGGATGGACAAGATTCCATAACCGTACCCCAGAGGCCGGCAGGCTTCAGCCTGGGCTGGTCCTTGCAGGGGTGCTGAGGGTCTCAGAAGACCCCGGCAGCAAAGTCACACCTCAAACGCCTTCCTGTCCCCCCATTTCCTCCCAGCACCCCTCCCTGCCGAGCGGGGTCAGGGCTTAGCTGGTCACAGCGTGCCTGGCTGGGAGTGGGTGAGGGAAACGTGTCCAGTCGGCTCCCGGGGTCACGCTCGGCTGGTGATGGAATGGCCCGGCCAAGGGACAGGCCACCACAAACACCACCCCCCTCTCCAGCCAGCTGAGGCACCCGAGCGTGGCCCCAGAACATTCCCTCTCATTTCCAAAACCTGTGGGAAAACATCCTGAGGGCCCGCGGGCCTTGGAGAGGCCACGCCGAGTTGTTGACGGCTCCCCTTTCCTGACCCCGCAGGCCTCTCTCCCTGGCCGCCACCAAGAGGGTCCATTCTCCCCTGCGCGCCCAAGGCCAGGCCGCCCACCCTGCACCCACGGAACAGCCGCACGCAGACGCGAAGCCCACCCTGACCCGGCGCCTGGACCCTTGGGGTGTGGGTGTGCCAAGCAAGAGCGGCCCAGGATTGGACGCAGCGGCCGTTGCCGGCCCTTCGTAAGTCAGCGCCCGATCTGTTCCCCTCAGGGATGTGAAGTAAAGCTACGAACCACCTCGCGGCCAGCCGGCCTCACCTTTACCACAGTCTGAGTTCAGTTATCAGATCCGGGGTGCAGCGGCTACACCGCCCAGGCGCGGAGGTGGGCGGGTGCACAGGGACCAGGGGGCTCAGCCTTGAGGGGGGGGTGGGACCCACTCCTGTCCCCGCCACAGGGAGCCTGGCCAGCAGCACCCAGGAGCCTGACTTGGGGGGGGGGGACAGAAGGACGTGCCCCTCTCTCTTTGCTTCAGTTTCCCCAGGGGGTCATCCCTTGTCAGGCACAGTTCCCTCCTGAGGAGCTGGGGAAGGGGGGGGGTTACACGGGCTGCTGGCCTTCCTGCCAGAGACCTCACTACATCCCGCCGTTTGGATAGCTGATCCGGGAGAGAAACTGAGGCCAGAGCCCTCCCGGGGCCGCTGGGCACCCTGTTCCCCCAGTTTCCCACACGGCCTGGGGCCTTGCCAGCGCCTGCAGATCAAGGGTCAAAGTGGGTTGGTTAATTACAACCTCTCCCCTCGAAGGGCAGGAGGCGCACCCCGCCCTCTGCCTGGAGGAGGTGTTCCCAAGGAGAGACCCCGCTCGGGTCCGTGGGGTGGGGAGCCCAGGGCGGCAGGAGGAAGCGCGTTCGGACGCTGTCCAGGCTGCTCCCCGCGGCAAACGGGGCGCCCGGGTGCCTGCGCGTCCCCCTGCCCACCCAGTCAGTGTCTGCGCGGTTCCAGGCGGTCCGGGCCGAGCCCACTTGGGTCCTGGGGGCGAGCCGGGCGCGCCGGCCTTGGGAAGAGCCCGGGACTCGCCTTTGCGTTTTCCGCAACCCCCGGCTCGCTGCACCCGGGCCGCGGAGGCTCCGCTCCAGTGCCCTCTCCCGCCTCGTAAAAGTCCGGGCCGTCGGGATTTATGAGCCCGGAGCGGAGGGTCGCCGGGGCGGTGACACACCCCGTTACCTCCCGAGCGCGCGCGCGGCCGGCCGGCCCGGGGTGGCCGGGGACCCTGGGAACCGCCCCGCCCCCGCGCCGCGGCGCGCTAACGGGACCCCCAGCCCCCCGCCCCGCACGGGCCCGCGCCGTCGGGGCGCCGCACCTGGCACGTAGATCTCGCCGCGCTCCTCGTCGGGGAGCTCGCTCCAGTTGCGCTTGCACGTGGACACGCACGGCTTCTTCACCAGGAACGCGCGGGGCATCGTGGAGGCCGCCGGCCGGCCCGCGGCCGCGTCTGTGCCTGGAGCCGGTCGGGGCTGCGCGGGGCCGGGGCCGGGGCCGGGGCCGGGGCCGGCGCGGGGCGGGGCGGAGGGCGCGGCCGGGCGCGGGGCGCGGGGCGCGGGCGCGACCCCGCAGCAGGCCGGGACGGCGCGCGCCCGGGGCGAGCGGCTCGGCGGGGCGGGCGCGGGGTCCCGGGCGAGGGGCGCCAGGTGCGGCGCGCGGCGGGGACGCGGCGGGGACGCGGCGGGAGGCTCGGCTCGGCTCGGCGCGGCGCGCCCGGCTCGACTGGCGTCCCCCGCGGCCGCTCGGGAAGTCTTAAAGCGCGACCGGCCCGACGGGTTCACGCTTTATTGGCTCGCGGCGGTGCGTGTTGGTGGCTGGGGCGGGGTGGGGGTGATCCGAGCTAATTACTCGGAGTGGCCCGGGCGGCGACGGCGCATGCGTTGGGAAATAACGGTGACGACCCACCTATTTGTTACCTGTCGAACCGGTTTTCGGGCCGCTGCGGGTGAGGTGGCCTCGCGGCCGGGGCGGGGTGGCCGGGCGGGGGCGGGGGCCGGGCGCCGGGGGCCCCCACCCCGCCCGCCCGCCCGCCCGCCCGCCGGCCGCCGCCCGCGGGGACCTCCCAGCCGGGCGTGCCGGCGTCGGCCAACGGGAGTTTCGGCGGAGCGGCGGGCGGGCGGGCGGGGGCAACGTTACTCGCAGCACCGGCGCCCGCACGCTCGGCCGCTGATGCAATGAGACTCGCCCGGCCCGGCCCGGCCCGGCCCGGCCCGGCCCGGCCCGGCCCGGGAGGCGCGAAGCCGTCGGGCGGGAGCGGGCGGCGCGGCCCGCACCGGTCGAACCGGGCCCTCTGTCCCGCTGGGACCCCCGAGTGAGCAGTGGGGGGTTCCGGCCAGAGGTGTTTGCTTGCCCGGCGCCAGATCGGGGCTGGCGGGCGCGCGCGGGGCCCAACGGTGGGCGGGCAGGCCCCGACCCCGACGGGACGCACGACGTTGGAGCTGCTCGGAGCCCACCGAGGTTGAGAAGGACGCCCGCGTCGTTAGGACGCACACACGTACACCCCCCAAACCAACATGTCCAGATTGTAGGCGCTACAAACGCCAAGCCGGAGACTCCGGGAAGGAAGAAGGCTGCGTGCGAGCTGCACCTCCCTGCCGGGGGTCGCTGGAGTCCACCCTGGCGGAGCCTAAGCCCGAGTCCCCCCTCCAGCGGTTCCTCATGCTCTGTGTGGCCACCACTAGCAAGTGACTGGCCCCAGGCCAGCGTTGGGCATCTCTCGCCTGCTGACCCAGCAAGGCCGGAAGAGATCCTCTTCCTCCTCCTGGCATGCCCCCCCCTCCTAAAATCAAAGACCGTTTTCAAATCCTGGTGACATAAACTCCTTTCTCGGATTCAGTCTGGGACAGAGGAGGAAGTGAGTGATAAATGGACTCACACGGTTCAAAAGTCAAGAGGCAAAACGGGGCAGCTGATAGCGCTCTCGCAGGAGTCCGGCCGGGAAGATAGCAGAGGGGGCGGGGGTGGGGTGGGGGGGCGGATGGGGGGAGTTGCTTCCAGCCGCTGTCACCCCTCTCCACTTCTCTGGAGCACGCCCTGGGCTGCTGGGGAGAGTGTGGCTTTCTGGGGTCCCCAAGGGGCCTTTGGATTTGACTGGAATGTGTGGCTTTCCAGCCCTCTTCCTCATCTGCTCACCTACTTCTTGGGGTCCCCTGAAAAATGATGCAATAAGACCTCTGCGGGAGGGGCCACAGTGACCTTTGCCCCCTTCCCTTTCCTTGGGGGGGGGTCTGCCTTCCCGTGGTCCACACTTCCCTCCGCTCCTGCTCTGCCCCCTTTCTGCCGTGGATGTGAATGGGCTTTCCCTGGAATAGCCTAGGAGAGACCATGGCCGGGAGGGCAGCCCGGGGGGGCCCCCTGAGGGAGGACTGTCCCCAGGGCCTTTACCCTCGCTGGCACCTCGCTGGGCGTGTGTCCACCTCCGTGGAGAGGAAAGCCCAGCACTGTCGCCGTCCACGAAGAGCAGGAAATCCAGATTTGTACATGAACTCAGCTGATTTGTAAATGTTGACTTAGAAATTGCCCCAAGGGTGGGGCTGGAGAGATAGGACAGCAGGCAGGGCGCTGGCCTTGCACGCGGCTGACCTGGGTTCGATCCCCAGCACCACACATGGTCCCCTGAGCACTGCCAGGAGTGATCCCTGAGCACCACGGGGTGCAGCCTGAAAAGGAATAAAAAGTTGTTGGGGGGTTGAGGAACGCTGAGGGAACATACGGAGACCGAGGCACTTGTCTTGCTTGCAGCCCTGAGCACCGCCCAGGCTGATCCCTGAGCACAGAGTCGGGAGTAAATGCTAAGCAGTGGCAGGTGTGGCCCCCAGACAGCAAAAAAAGAGTTTCTTTGGGGTTGGAATGGTAGGTTAGGGGGCTGAGTGCATGCTTTTTCTTTATTATCTGTAAGATTGTTTGGTTTGGGGTCACACTCAGCGGTGCTCAGGGTTTACTCCTGGCTCTGTGCTCAGGGATCACTCATGGTGGTGCACAGAGGACCATATGGGATGTCAGGGATCGAACCAGGGGCAGCTGTGTACAAGGCAAGCACCTTAGGCCTGGAGAGTAGGACAGCGAGTAAGGATCTTGCCTTGTGCTGGACCCACCCTGGTTTAATCCCCAGCATCATGTCTGGACCCCTGAGCACCACAGGAATAATCCGAGCACTGTTGGGTGTGGCCCCAAAACAAACTTAAAAAAAAAACACGTACCCCCTGTACTCTGGCCTCTTTTTATTCCGGGCGGAGGGGTACACACCTCGCAGCACCCCTTGCGGTGCCAGGATTCTAACCACGTGCTCTAACCTCCATCCTGTCTCTCTGGCGCTCTGAGCACATGCTTTGCAGGCAGGCGACCCAGGTTTGATCCCCAGCACCACTTTTTTTTTTTTTTTGCTTTTTGGGTCACACCTGGTGATGCACAGGGGTCACTCCTGGCTCTGCACTCAGGAATTATCCCTGGCAGTGCTCAGGGGACCAAATGGGATGCTGGGAATCGAACCTGGGTCGGCTGCATGCAAGGCAAACGCCCTACCCGCTGTGCTATCACTCTCTCCCCCCTCCCCCCCCGCACCACATTTGGGGCGTGAACCCCAAGCACAGAGCCAGGAGTTGTCCCTAAGCACCACCGGGTATACCCGCCCTCCCCAACCCCCGCCTCAACCAAAACAAATTTAAAATGTGTACGACGACGTGGACTGAGCCAAGGAAATGGCTTGCTGGGTCCCCTCTGACCCAGAGGGGGGAGCCCACTGCAGCCTGTGTGAAGCTGGGGGGGACGCGGCGCTGAGCGGCGCGCCCTGTGCGGGCAGGCGCCGGCCCTCTGCTCCCACGGCGCCAGTTAGAAATCGCTCCCTCATGCCCGGCAGCCGCAAATATTGACAGAGCACCTGCCATCTGCCCGCCGCGCCCTCCGGGAGCTGATGGGGACAGGGGAGGCAGGCGAGCCAGGGAGGGCCAGAGCCCAGGGGTCACGGACAGGCGGGCCAGGACTGGGCAGTCTGATGTGCAGAAGGTTCCAGATAGGGGCGGGAGGAGAGGGGCTGGACCTGGGTCGGGGGAGGGGGTGGCGGGTGGTGTCAGAACTGGGGTTGACCAAGAGGCTGGAGGTACCGTGGGTTGCCCCTGGGGAGGCCACGGCGTGTTCTGAGCTCACTCTGCGTCTCCTGAGGGGACGGGGTGTGATACTGATAGCCACTAGGACAGGGGACTCTAGGACCTTCTCGGCATGGGGGTGGGCAGGTCCCCTTTCTGAAGGCCCAGCAGCCCGCAGCCTCACACCTTCCCCCATAGCAACAGCCCAGCTCCACCACTGAACCTCATCCGACTGCCAAGCTACCACATTGTCGCAGGTCTATAACTTGTGGACCGTGTGGCCACACCACCTCTAATTTTTTTGTGGGGGGGGGGGGGTAACACCTGGTGATACTCAGGGGTTCTTCCTGGCTCTGCACTGAGAAGTTACTCCTAGCAGTGCTCGGGGAACTACAAGGGATGCTGAGGATCGAACCCGGGTGGCCGCGTGCAAGGCAAACACCCTCCCTGCTCTACCATCGCTCCGGCCCAACACCTCAACATTTCTACAGTGCTGGGGCTGGAGAGATAGCACAGTGGGGAGGGTGTTTGCCTTGCACGTGGTCGACCTGGGTTCGATTCCCAGCATCCCATATGGTCCCTTGAGCACTGCCAGGAGTAACTCCTGAGAGCAGAGCCAGGAGGAACCCCTGTGCATCGCTGGGTGTGACCCAAAAAGAAAAAAAAATTTCTATAGTGCTGTCAGCTCAGTGGGATCCCAGCAAGTCTGATGGGAAAGTTCTCAGAAGCCCAGCAAGCTCATGAGCCTGAACAGTAACAGACGGCTCAGCGGGCACCAGCGGGCACGGCAGTGGTCACAAATGGGCTCTTATTCATCTAAGATTTGATCGGCCCATTTGCCTTTGTGTTGTAACAAACAATATGAGGTGAATATGCTTGTGCCTGTGAAGGGAGCACGCTGGGGTCGGGGTGGGAAACTGAGGACACTGGCGGACGGAAGTTCAAACTAGTGGTGGGACGGTTGTTGGAACATCGAGTGCCTGAACCAACGTATGATGAACAACTTGGTAAGGCACGGTGTTAAAATAAAAATTTAAAAAGGGGCTGGAGCGATAGCACAGCGGGTAGGGCGTTTGCCTTGTATGCGGCCGACCCCGGTTTGATTCCCAGCACCCCATATGGTCCCCCGAGCACCGCCAGGAGTAATTCCTGAGTGCAGAGCCAGGAGTAACCCCTGTGCATCACTGGGTGTGACCCAAAAAGAAAAAAAGAAAAACTCAGTGGAATTAAAAATAAAACCTCAATGGAGGTGCAAAGCCCCAAGCTGGGTGGGGGTGGGGTGCGCCTCCCTTCTCTGCAGAGCTGCCACCGGCCTCCCAGCCCCCAGCCTGGAGACTCCGGCGGGGGGGGGGGGGGGGAATACTGCCGAGTGGACGGAAGCCTCCTGAGGTAGAGCTGAAGAGGCAGCCCCCAGGGCCACCCGAGACCTCAGCCAGGGGTGCTGAGGCATGTGCCCGCTGGTGGCTCAGGGCTGGGGACACAGCACTGTCCAGCCTCCCCGCTCCTTCCTGGCTCAGTGCTAGCCATGGGCCCCCGGGGTCATCCTTCCCAGCACACCCACCCACCTGAACCCCCACCACCCCAGGCTACCATCCCACATCAGTCACTCGCCTCATCCCCACCCACTCTCCCAAAGCCAGCTGTCCCGTTTGCACCCTTGGCAGGGGCCCATCACCATGGCCTCCTGTAGGTCCCGGACTGGCTGGCTCAGCCTCCTCAGACTCCCAGCCTCCTCCCAGCCTCCCCTCAGACTCCTCCCAACGTTCCCGCAGTCCCCTCTCAGCTCCCCCCAGCCTCCCCTCAGTCTCCCTTCAGCCTCCTCCCAGTTTCTTCTGCCTCCTCTCCGCTGCTCCTCCTGGGCCTTTGGTCAAGAATACAGACTCCGCTTTCAGCCGGATACCCCGTCTCCGACAGGCCTCTCCCCTGCTCAGGGTCCTTGGTGCATCTTTGACTCTTTAAAGAGACTTGGGGCTATCTGTGGGACGCCTCTCACACCGTCTCCAGTGGCCCACACTGTAAAATCTGCCTTTTTTGTCTTATTAGGGGTGTGTGTGTGTGTGTTGGGGGGGTTAGCCGTGCCTAGCAGCGTTCAGGAACTGCTCTCAGCTCTGTGCTCAGGAGCACTCCTGGCTGCGCTCAGGGGGCCCACCTGGGTTGGCTGTGTGCCAGGCCAGCACCTTAGTGCTGGCACTCCCCTCTCTGGGCCCCAACTCTGTGGCTCAGCGCTGGGCATTGCGCGGCTTCCGGCCGGCCCTGGACACCACAGGATCTGAGCAGCTATATCCTCTGTCCCTTGCATTAAACCACTGACCCAGCTGGCCAAGTGTCTTCTGGGAGTGGCCCCTGTGGCCCCTGGATACCATTTAGGAGACCCCCAAATCCACTATTTAGAGTATACTGCCTTCTAGGACAATGTCATCACCCCCAAAGAAACCCACTAGCACTGCCCACCAGGCATCCCAGCCCGCCTCATTTCTCTGTGGATCTGCCTGTCGCCTGTCCATTTGAGTTTCACGTCTCTGGGCACCTTGTCTCCCATTGCCCACTACAGATGAGGAAACAGGTTCAGGATCCCGCAGGACTCTGGGGTCCCTCGAGAGGGAGTGGGGTGTGAGCGCGGGCAGACAGGGAGGGGTCTGGCTGCCGGGCTGGGACTCAGGTCCAGTCTGAGCCGCTGTGGCCTCAGCGAGGGGTGGGGCAGGCCCCACCCTGAGCCTGGTCAGTGGCTGGGGGGTCCTCGCAGAGGTTTGGAGGGGGCTGCCCGTGAAGGCCGGCGGGGGACAAATGACAGCCCCTGGCTGGGCCTCCGTCCTGTGAGCGGCTCCTCCGCTGGCCCCACAGGCAGCTGGGAGCAGTGACTCCTGCAGATGTGTCCCCTGTGGGCTCCTCCTGTCTAGACCCGCGGCGCCCTGAGCTGCTGGCAGAGGCTGAGCAGGGGCCAGCGTCGGATTTCCTGCGCCTTTGAAGCCCGGCTGCTCAAGTGTAAAAGGGGTTTAATAACTGTGAGCGGGAGGGTTGGGGTGTGCAGTTATCAGCACCCCTGGGCCTCAGACAGGGAAACCAGACAGACCCGGTTCCCCCCTCGCGGCCTTCCCTCCCGGCTGCTCTCAGCCTGCCCCCTTTCATCTGAGGGTTAATTAGTCGGGCCGCCGCACCCCACAACCTCCTGGGCAGGAGTCATCGCTCCATTTTACAGACGGGGAAACTGAGGCACCTAGGGGGAAGTGGTTTGGGGCTGCCGCCTGTGAGTCAGCAGCGGAGCCAGGGCGCTCCACAGCCGGGACCGGGCCTTCCAGCCGGACCCGTCCTTCGCGTCCTCCGCGGTGGATCTGTCTCCGTGCCCCTGGCACCCGGGGGACCCCAGGAAGCTTCTCCTCCAGCTCCCGGCCCCGCCCCGCGCAGTCCCCACCAGCTCGTGGAGAGACGTTGGCAGCGCACGGGGGCTCAGAACTGTTTCATCTTCAAAGCGGGCTAATTAGAGCCCGAGGCCTTAGTCACGGGCCGGCGGTGGGGTCCGGGCGGCGGCGGTCACTGGGGCCAGCGCAGCCTGAGCCCCGGCGCCCGGGATCCAGCCCCCTGGACAGGCTCGGCCCGGGTGGCCCGTGGGTGCGGGCTCCGGGCGCACGTCGTGCGCGTCCAACCGTTGTCTCCCGGCGTGGCCCGGCCCCGCCCGCGGCCCCCGGGCCCCGACGGCCTCGACCCTCCCCGGCCCGCGGCACAGCCCGCGGCAAAGGTCAGCCGCTTCCGCCGCCGCGACCCAGGCGCCGGCTCCGCGCCCCCAAGCCCAGCGGGTGGGGGGCCGGGCCGGCGTCGGCCAAGCCAAGCCAAGCCCTGCGGCGCCCGCCCGACCGGTTCAGCCGGGGCCGCGGCGCGCGCTTCCTGCGGGCGCCCTGGGACCGCACCTTGAACCCCGCCGCGGCCACCTGGGCGCCCGGGGCCCCGCACCCAACGCTGCCCCGAGGGCGCGGCCCGGGTGCGGGGCGCGGCGAGGTGCACGCAGCGGGGGGGGAGGGGAGGGGAAGGGGCGCCCTGCCCGGCCCCGGGCTCTCAGCTCGCGCGCACGGTCCGGGGCGTCGGGGACCCCCCGGCATCCCGGAAACCGGGGCCCACCCAGCCCCGCCGCCCCTGCCCGGGCCTGCGGCGGTTTCGGCAAAGGGGGGCAGCGCGCAGCGGGACAGTTACTCAGCCCCAGCGAAACCGGCGAGTCGGCACCTGCCGGCGGGCGGGGGAGCGGCCGCCCCGTTAGGCCCCGCCCCGCCCCGCCCCTCCCCGTTAGGCCACGCCCCGTACAGCCCCGCCCCGCCCACCCGGAAGCCGCCGGCCGGCCCCGCGCCCCCGGCGGCTGAGTCAGGCGCGGAGCAGCCGAGCCGGCCCGTTACCGCGGGCGCCGGGGGCCGGGGCGGCGCTGTGGTTTCGGTGGCGGCCGCGGGCGGGCGCCTAATGAGCTCTCGGCACGCACCCCGCGCCGGCGGCCCGCCCGGGCGTCACCCCCGAAACCTCGGGGTTTCTTCCGGGGGCCGGAGCGCGGGGTCCCCGCGGGCGCGTGCGCGGGGCCCGGGGCTGCGGGCCGGCGGCTCTGCGGGCGCGCGGGCGCCCCCTGGCGGGGTCCGACCCGCGCTCCCGGGCGGGTCTGCAGGGACCTGCGGCCCCGACCATGGGGCCCCTGAGCCGGGAGACGTGGGCCCAGCGCCTGGGCGCCTTCCGGGCCAGCCCCGCCGCTTTCCTGGCGGGACCTGAGGGTGAAGATCTGGGCCGGGACCTGCTGAGCGACCTCAGGAGTGACAAGCTGAGCGATCAGATCAAGGTAAGCCCTGCGCGAGCCTGTCACCAGCGGCGCCCGCTGCGTCCCCAGCCAGAGCCGCGCGGTGCCCACGCTCGTGCCCTCCGCAGGTTTCCTTGCTGGCCCTGAGCTTGGAGTACCCAACCGAACTGTGGCCTGAACCCCCCGCAGCCGAAGCAGCCGCCACCTGCCTGCTGGACACCCTCGTCCTTCTGCCCCCGCGGCCCACCCCGCTGCGGCGGCTCCTGTTGCTGGCGGCCACCACGGTGCTGGTGGCCGGAGAGGCGCTGGGCCCCACCTCCGCAGCCTCGTGCCGGCTCCTGCCGCTCCTGCTGGCCTTGGCCTCGGGCCGGGAGCTGGGGCGAGGCTTCGGGCCCGCCTCCGAGCAGCGCCCCCTGCAGGCCACGGCCTGCGAGTGCCTGCGGGAGCTGGAGAGCTGCCGGCCCGGGGTGCTGGGGGGCTGCCTGGGGCAGCTGTGCGCCCTGCTGGGACAGGACGGCCCGGTGCAGCCGTCCAGCCTGCTGCTGGCACTGGCCCTGCGCAATGCTTTGGCCATCCAGGCCAGGGCCGGGCTGCAGGGCCCGCTCCTGGCAGCGGACCCGCCCACGCAGGGTGGCCCCTGGAACTGGACCCTGGCCGAGGCCAGCGAAGGCCGCCTTCTGCCCCAGGCCCCCGTCTGGCCGGCAGCTGAGGATGGGGAGAGTGTCCTCGCCGCACCAGCGCCCGGCCCCGAGGAGGCCCATCAGCTGCGGACCACTGTCAACCAACTCCTGGACGCCTCGTACCTGCTCACCCCCACGGCGCAGGCGCAGCTCCTGTGGCTCTTGGGCTGGGCCCTGCGGGGCCTCCGGGGGCAGCCGCCTGCTCTCTTCAAGCCACAGCTGGTCCGGCTGCTGGGCACAGCTCAGCTGGCCCTCCTGCACGCCGTCCTGGCCCTGAAGGCGGCCTTCGGCGAGGCCCTGTTCACCGCCCAGGACGAGGCCTTGCTGCTCCGCCGGCTCACCCTGGCCGCCCAGCACCCGGCGCTGCCCGCCGCCACCCGCCTCTTCTACCTGCACTGCCTCCTCACCTTCCCCGAGAACTGCCCGCTGGGCCCGGCCCACGCCGCGGAGGCCCTCCCGCTGCTGCTCGGGCTCCCGTTGTGCCGGGGCCTCCTGCCCAGCCTCCTGGACGGCCCCCTGGCCTTCCTGGCCCGCCTGCAGCTGCTGTGCCTGCTCTGTGCCGAGGAGGAGGAGGAGGAGGAGAGGGAGGGGGAGAGCCAGGCGGGCCGGAGCCTCCGGCCCTACCTGGAGTCGCTGCTGGCCGGCCTGCGGCAGAGGGCGGCCCTGGAGGGAGCACCCCGCGCCGCTGTCACCCTCTGCTTCCAGGCCTCCTACCTGGTGGCCCGCTGCCTGCCCGGGCAGCCCGCGGTGCTGGCCGCGCTGACCCAGGGGCTGGCCCAGCTGTACCGTGCCCAGCCGGCGCTGGCTCCCCATTTCGTGGACCTCTTGGGTCGGGTGGGCCCCGAGCTAGGGGCACCGCTGCAGGGGGCGCTGCAGCAGGAGGTGGTGTCGAGCCCCGGCGGGGACGAGGCCCTCTGTTGGCATCTGCAGACGCTGGCCGCGGTGGCGGGTGGGGACAGCCAGCGGGCCACCCTGCGGTTCCTGCAGGCGGCTGCGGCGCGCTGCAACGACTGGGGCCTGGAGCAGGCCCTGCTGCGCGTGTGTCGCGCCCTGCTGCGCGCGGGGGACACGGGCGGCCTGGCCGACCTGCTGCAGGTGCTGGCCCGGGGGCTGCGGGACCCCGACGGGCGCGACCACGCCCGCCTCTACTACATCCTCCTCACCCACCTGGCGGGCCCCAAGCTGGGGGTGGCCCTGGCGCCCTCGCTGGCCGCCCCCGCGCTGGCCTCGTCGCTGGTGGCCGAGAACCAGGGCTTCGTGGAGGCGCTGATGGTGCAGGAGGCGCCGGCCCCCGTGCGCCTGTGCCTGGGGCCCCGCCAGGCCGCCGCCGCCAGCCCCGCGCCCTCCCTGCAGCTGCAGGTGGAGGCGCTGGAGCCTGTGTTCTCGCTGGAGTTGCGCTTTCAGGCGGAAGGTCACATCTACGGGCCCCTCGCGGCCGTCCACGTGCCCTGCCTGCAGCCCGGTCGCCCCGGTCCCCCGCTGCGGCTGCCCCTGCAGCCCCGGCGCCCCGCGCCCGCGCAGCTGGCCGTGCGCGCCCTCTACACCACGCCCGCCGGCCGCACCTGCCACGCGCGCCTGGCGCCCCTGGCCGTGCCCTTCGACCACCTCTTCCTGCCTTTCCCCCCGCCCGCTGCCGGGGCCGGGCCCGGCTTCTTCGAGGAGCTCTGGGCCTCCTGCCTGCCCCAGGGCGCCGAGAGCCGCCTGTGGTGCCCGCTCGGGCCCCTGGGGCTGGAGGACTTGGTGGCCCGCCACCTGCAGCCCTTTGTGGTGGCGGCCCAGCCCCCCAACAGCTACCGTGTCGCCATCCGCCTGCCCCCCGCGTCGCGGCTGCTGCTGCGGCTGGAGGGGCCGCAGGGGGACGGCGTGCCCGTGGCGCTGTGCACCGACGACTGGGCCGTGCTGGGCCTGGCCGCGGGCTACCTCCGGGGGCTGGCGGCCGCGGCCTGAGCCCGCCCTGGCCGGGGCCCCTGCCTTTTGAGGGGACCTGCCTGGTGGTACTGGTGGTGGGGGGGGGCTGTGCTGTCTGCTCAGCGGCTCCTTGTTCCCTCTGTGGATTTTTTTATGGGGGGTCCACCCCCAGCAATGCTCAGGGATCACTCCTGGAGGGGATGGGGGAAAACCGTGCGTGCCAGGATCCAACTGGGTCAGCCATGTACAAGGCGTGTGCCTTAAGTCACGTACTGTCTCCAGGCTCTCAAAAAATAAATTAATTAAAAAGTCTTACGTTAACCTGCAAGCCTCTTGGCTTTTTCTTTGGGGTCCTGGTTGGTGAAAGCAGATGTGGCTGCAGGGGTCAGAGGCTCCAGCCAAGTTTCCGGAGTCCTTCCGGTCTCCCTGCTGCTCTTCTCCAGAGTCAAGACCCCTCTGCTGCCCAGACAGGCTACGGGGGCGACTGGCAGGAGGGCCCAGCACCCCGACTTCCAGGCTGATGTGGAGCTGACTTTTTGTGGTCCAGTCCCGGGGAGCCCCAATCTGTGGGCCAAGGAAGTTGCTCCAGTTCCGAAGAGCTTCCCTGCCCGCCGTTGTCCAGTGTATTGGGATTCCCGCTGTCCAGCCTGGGGGCGAGGCCAACTGGTCCCCGAGCCTATGTCTTTCCACAGCGCCCCAGCTGATCAGCCAGCGTATTCTGCTCCCCAGCCGGACTGGGGTTCCATCACTGGGGTCACAGGCTTCACTGGGGCTCAGCCTTCAGGACCCCCTGCTGACAGTTTCACATGAGTCGTGCCCCTCTTCGAGAGAAGATTCTGGAACGTGGGAAGTGAAAGCGGGTGTGGCTTGAGCACATGTGTGACCTTGGCAGGGGCACCCAGGACAGCGGGGTCCTTAGCTGGGGGCTGGCCTGGGGCAGTTCCGGAACCGACTGTCCCTTCTGTGGCTCGTCCACCACCTCCCAACCGAGGAAGCCGGGCTGGCCCCCGGCCACTGGCACACGCTGCTCCTGAACAGCCCCTCCCGGCTCGGGGCCTCTGAACCACAGGGACTGTTCCCTCTGTCACGTGCCGATGTGGCGTGATCCTGTGCCCCCTCACCTCATCTGTCTGCCTTCCATGTCACCGTCCAACCTGTCTGCCCACCCTTGAGTGCTGGATGCTCGGTGACCCCAGGGAGGCCACAGGGGCACTCTGCCCCTTCCAGACCTGTCCCTGGGGTGCGCCCGGACCGGAATTACTGTCCCGGGATGCGCTTGTGCTGGACGGTCGTCGGGAGGCCAAAGAAATGAAGTTCTGGGCTGCACCTGTGGGCAGAGGGTTCTGCAGACAAGAGGGTGGGAACAGCCTCGAGCAAGCCGGCCCACAGCCCTCCCACTCTGCACCCTTATGACTTGTCCCTGTCACCCCAAGCTTCCCCAGAGCAGACCCCAAAGTCCCTGTCACCCCACCATCCCCCTTTGTGGCTGTGCCCCATATTCACCCACGCTGCCTGGCGACCTCCGCTTTGCTGATGCCATGTCAGGCGTTGGCCTGGCACACGCCAGCACCCACCTGCCAGCCCTCTGCAGCCGGGGACAGCCCGGGAGAGAGGGGGGTCCTGCCGGGAACAGGACAGCCGGTCACCCAGCACAGCTTCCTGTGGAGCCGGAGTCCCCCCTCCTGCCTGCAGCCTGCCGTGGCCACACTCAGCGCTGCCGGCATTTGCGAGCTGGGACGGCATGTGCACGGGTCAGCAAAACCACAAAGAACTTTCCCGTCAGAGCATGTCGCCAACACAGTATAGGTCACACGTAGAACCAAAGATGCAGCTTTTGGGGCTCGAGCAACGGGACAGTGGGGAGGCGTCACATGCAGCCGACCTGGGTTTGATCCCCGGCACCCCATATGAAACCCCCCCCCATCCCCGCCAGGAGTGATCCCTGAGCGCAGAGCCAGGAGTAAGCCCTGGGCATGGCCAGGTATGCCCACCCCCCCCCCCACACACACACACAAAAGACAAAGATGCAGCTTTCTCTTGGGGTTGGGGAGATGGTGCCAAGGGGCATAAGAGCTTGAGCCTGAGCCCTGGTACTAACTGGGCCCCCTTACCACGAGGTGTCGCCATGGAGCCCCTATAAACGTTAAAGTGTCACTTGCTCTGGGAACTTCTGCTTTTATAGGACATCCTGCATTTCATCTGTCCGCGCTGAGTGAGAACATTGCCCTGTGTCTGCGCCTTTGAGGAGGGGGTGAGTGGCCGTTCACAGGCATTGCTCAGGGAACCGCCGGTATAAATGGCGCCACTCAGGCCCAGCAGTGCTCAGGAGTCACCCCTGAGCTTAGGTAGTGCCCCATGGTGCCTGAGAGAACCCAAGTTCTCCCTCCTCAGGGATCTAACCTAGTGAGGTGTCCTTCCTTGGGACCCCGGGACCCAGAATCCTACCTGTACTGAGCATCTCTGGCCTTTGGGGATCGGGGAACATGAGCACCCAACAAAACAGTCCCCGGAGATGACCATGGCATTCTTGTCCCCTGTGTGCAGGCAGCACTGCCCCCCAAGAGATGCCCAGGAATAAGCGTTCCTCACACCAGCTGCCTCTCTGGGTTGGGACCCCCGGGACCACCGGCTGGAGAGATGGGCAGGAAAGCTGTGGTGAGGGACTTCCAGGCGGCTGAAGACAAGGGTGGAGCTCAGTCCCCACCCGACGCCCCAAAAAATGTGGAACCAAGAGATCAGTGGTTAAGGCACTTGCCTTGCATGCGGCTGACCCAGCTGCCATCCCCTGCACCACGTATGGTCTCCTGAGCACTGCAGGAGTGATCCCTGAGCACTGTTGAGAGTGACTTCAAAGCACCACCGGGTAGGCCCCCAAAAGTGAACTCATTTTGGGGCTGGAGCAATAGCACAGCGGGTAGGGCATTTGCCTTGCACGCAGCCAACCCGGGTTCGATTCCCAGCATCCCATATGGTCCCCTGAGCGCACCACCAGGGGTAATTCCTGAGCGCAGAGCCAGGAGTAACCCCTCTGCATCGCCGGGTATGAGCCAAAAAGCAAAAAAAAAAAAAAAAAAAAAAAAAAAAAAGTGAACTCATTTTGAAAAAGTTTAAAAAACAAAACAAACCATCTTTCTCGTTAGACCAGGGGAAATGCTATACTAAAAAGTGAATGCGGGACTGGAGAGATAGCACAGCAGGTAGGGCGTTTGCCTTGCACGCGGCTGACCCGGGTTTGATTCCCAGCATCCCATATGGTCCCCTGAGCATCACCAGAAGTAACTCCTGAGTGTAGAGTCAGGAGGAACCCCTGTGCATTGCCGGGTGTGACCCAAAAAGCAAATAAATAAATAAATAAAAAGTGAATGCAAGTGGGCTGGAGCAATAGCACAGTGGCTAGGGCGTTTGCCTTTTTGCCTTGTCCTCAGCCAACCCAAGTTCGATTCTCAGCATCCCATATGGTGCCCTGAGCACCGCCAGGAGTAACTCCTGAGCACAGAGCCAGGAGTAACCCCTGTGCATCACCAGATCTGACTCGAAAAGCCAAAAAAAAAAAGTGGGGTTGGAGCGATAGCACAGCGGGTAGGGCGTTTGCCTTGCACCTAGCCGACCCGGGTTCGATTCCCAGCATCCCATATGGTCCCCCGAGCACCACCAGGAGTAATTCCTGGGTGCATGAACCAGGAGTAACTCCTGTGCATGGCCAGGTGTAGCCCAAAAAGCAAAAATAAATAAATAAATAAATAAAAGTGAATGCAAGAGAGACTGGGGTCACAGCACAGAGGTGTGGAGCCTGCTTTGTGTTGGTCTCCCAGATTCAATCCCCGACACCCTGTGTGGTCCCCCCAAGCACAGCCAGGCGTGATTCCTGAGTGTAGAGCTAGGAGTAACCCCTGAGCATCACCGGATGTGCCTTCCTCGCCAAAAGAAAAATGTGAACCAAAAGGAAGAGTCCTACACGGAACCAAGCCCTCAGCTTGACCTGCAGACTCACTCAGGCTCTCACGGAGAGGAGGAACAGCCCGCTGCCTGCCGTGCTGAAAAACGCTGGGTGAAACAGAACAGCTTCCACATTTGATCTCCCCAGAAATGTCGCCCTGAGGTAAAAAAAAAATGTCAGGGCAGGGCTGAAGTGATAATACAGTGGGTAGGACGTTTGCCTTGCACCCGGCTGACCTGGGTTTGATCCCCGGCATCCCATATGGGCCCCTGAACACCGCCAGGAATAATTCCTGAGCATCGCCGGGTGTGACCCTGAAAGTCCAAAAAATAAATAAATAAAAATGAAAAGGGTTCAGACTGCAGGGAAGGGCTGTCTGCAGTTTGAAGAGGCAGCCTCTGAACCCCAGGGGTGCAGAGGCAGAGAGAGAAGCCAGGAGAAGCGCGTTCTTGGCATCTGGCGTGCAAGAGGAAGCAACAGCTATTTCGTGGGTCTGCAAGGCAAGGCCAAGCAGAGAGGCCCAAACTCCTCATCACCCCTAATAAGCAAAAGCATGAAAACGCGCAGACAGGTAGTTCTGGCAGAGGGTGGCATTCACCCAGGGACAGCTAAAGCATCAAATGTCACAAAAAAAAAAAATGGGCTCTTACAATTCCTTCTAAAGTAAAGTAAAGTAAAGTAAAGTAAAGTAAAGGCCCTTCCGTTGATCATCGATTTGCTCGAGCGGGCCCAGTAACGTCTCCATTGGAGACTTTGTTGTTACTGTGTCTGGCATATCGAATACGTCCCGGGGAGCTTGCCAGGCTCTGCCATGCGGGCAGGATCCTCTCGGTAGCTTGCTGGGCTCTCCGAGAGGGGCGGAGGAATCGAACTCGGCTCGGCCATGTTGGCTGCATGCAACGCAAACGCCGTACCGCTGTGCTATTGCTCCAGCCCTAAATATCAGAAAAGTTGCATCATCACCTACCAAGGGAAATTCACATGCACCCCGAGAAACCAGCAGAAGGACACGACACCATAGGACCCAGAACTGATGCTACTCAAAGCACGTTCCTGTGACCGGAGCTATGGCACAGGACGCAGGGCTTGCATGCAGCTGACCTGTGTTCCGTCCCCAGCATCCCATAGGGTCCCCT